CTGGGTTGGATCCCTGACCTGTCCCCAACCCGCCCCCCCCTCCTGTCAGCATGCCATGAGTAAGTCCTGAGCACTGATGGGTGTGACTTCCCCAGCAAGTTTGTTGTGTTGTTTTTTTTTTTACATTTTAACTTTATTTTTTGGTTTGGGGGCCACACCAAGAGGAACTCAGGAAATTTCCAGGGGTGAGGGAAGGTTGGGTTTGGGGGCTATATCCTGTAGAGCTCAGAAATTGGTGCTTGGGGTTGCTACTGGTGGTGCTCAGGGAACCATGCAGTGCTGGGAATTGAACCAGGGCCTCACACATGCAAAATACTAAGCCACATTCTCGACCTTACTAACAAATTTCAAAAACTTGTGTACTGTGGATTGTGTTGCGTAACTGTGCAAACAGTGATCTTCAATCACCCATCCACAGAGCAGGGCCCTGGCACCAGCCTGAGTGCCTGGAGGTGGAAACCACTGCTCTACCACCTCAGTTCTAACTGCTGGCTGTGGACGGGCACGCAAGACGGGGGCCGGCCTGCAGGCATGGGAAGGTTGAAGAATGCTGGTCTAGAAGAAATGAATCACAACAAAGAACTTTCATTCCTACCTTGACTACTTTTCAAATAAAGGTAAAAGATTGAGTCCATAGAAGTGAAATGTCTCTGTATACTCAATCTGTACTTTTTTTTTTTTTTTTGCTTTTTGGGTCACACCCGGCTTTGCACAGGGGTTACTCCTGGCTCATGCACTCAGGAATTACTCCTGGCGGTGCTCAGGGGACCACATGGGATGCTGGGAATTGAACCTGGGTTGGCCGCGTGCAAGGTAAACGCCCTACCCGCTGTGCTATCACTCCAGCCCCTCAATCTGTACATTTTTGAGTATACATGTAGTATATACAACACATATACTCAGTGCATACAGTACATACACATAATAATACAAGCAGTATATACATATATACTACAGACACACTGTGTGATGATGATTATCTAGAATTCCGTCTCCATTTATGAGGAAACAGAATGACAATTAGAAAGTTTGAAATCTCTCTCTGAAATCAAAGTGGAGTATTATGTGTGTATAGGTATGAATAAAGAAACAAGTCAGGATACTTTCAAGAACTGGATTTTACAATGATAGTGGAACTTGCTTGTTTGCCAAGCAATCATTACATTTCTTTTGGGCAGGGGCTAGGGGAGAGTTGGGGGCTGTACCCAGCGGTGCTCAGGGCTTACTCCCAGCAGTGCTCAGGAAACCATGTGTGGTGCCAGGCATGGAACTGGAGTCAGGTGCATGCGAGGCAAGTGCCTTATCCCCTGGTCTATAAATTCAGCCCTCCCTACATTTTGTGGTAGACTCCATGACAATAATTGTGTGAAATGCAAAGATGGTGAAAGCTGGGCCTGTAATTTTTAGAGATTATCAGTTACCTTAGATAGGAATACTTGTTAATTGTGAGGCCTAATATCCAATTCTTCCCCCCCCCCCTTTTTTTTCTGCTCCAGATATCTAATCACTTTGGAGTCCATGATTCTGTGTAATTCTGAGATAAACTCTGAGCTCAGTAAGGGTCCTTAAGGGGCCAATCTCTGACAAAGGGAATTAGATGCTGAGGGATGGCTTTGTTGGAAAGAGGTGAATGAGGAACACGGAGTTTGAGATGTGAGTTCTTCCTCCCTTCTGGCTGTGGCAATGACGGGGTTGGGGTGTCACACACATGCTTGGGGGTGGTGCTCTCTGCGATTCACACATTGGGGCAGAGTGCCCACATACTTAGCTGCAATACTCATAGGAGTCACATACGTTCTTGATCAGAGTCACATATCTGGAACTGCCCACATTTCAGTTTTGGTGCTCACTTAGAGTTGCATACTTTAGTTCAGACACACCTGGGAGCAGAGCCCCTGGGGTCCCAAACAGCCAGGGTGCATGGGGGGCCCTCGGGAATGTAGCCTGAAGGCAGATGCTTTCGCCACTGCATCCTCTCTGGGCCCCCGGGTTTTTGTAATTGAAAGAGATGTTAGAAGTTATTTCATCAAATCCACACCATAGCTAAGAGAAGTCAAAGCTGACAGAAACAGGCGTGAAGTTCAGATCTCCAAATGCCTGCCCTTCAGCACTATTTCCAATTATCCAGGGGATTTCAATAGATGTAAGTTTCCATTTGTCTTCTGTTTAACACCCTCTCAAATCTGGCAACCACTTGCATTTTTGATATCTATAATTCCAATTTGAAAATTCAGTGAACTTTTGAGACTCAATCCATACCTAGAGGGTGATCAGGCTCAAAGTTTAAACCTGGAGTGATTGAGGACATACTGAGGAGAGAATTGGTCCATTCTCCTTAGAGCATTCTTGAAAAGTAAATATCAGCTTGAAAATAAAAACTACAATGCAGCTATCTTTAGTCATCTTCATCGCGGCCAAGCCTAATATATTCCCCTAATCATAGTGATATATTTTCCAAATTACAATTTGAGAGGCATGGTCCAGTCCATGGCCCAGCAAGTCCACACACTTGCACAGTCAAACTTTTGCAGCACAAAAGAAATCCAAATGCCTCTCTCTGGAAGTCACTCCCAGAACATCCTACCTACTTTCTTGCCCAACTAATTCTATTTCTTTTTCTTTTTTTTCTTTTTGGGTCACACCCGGCGATGCACAGGCGTTTTTCCTGGCTCTGCACTCAGGAATTACTCCTGGGGGTGCTTGGGGGACCATATGGGATGCTGGGAATCGAATCAGTGTCGGCTGCGTGCAAGGCAAACGCTCTACCCAATGTGCTATTGTTCCAGCCCCAACTAATCCTATTTCTATGTTTATATTTCTCTTTTGGATAACCCCTTCTATTTTATATTCTGTATCAAATTCCATAATTCTATCTCTAGTTTCAACTAAAATATGCTTCTGCTTTTTCTGCACTCGACTAATCACAGGATTTTTAATAACACGCTTTTAATTTGAAGTGGAATGCACATCTAAACATTTTTGTTTTCTTCAAAAAAGGAAGAACCCTCCATGAATGATTTACATTGCAACTGTTTTTAATGGAAGGAGAGTTTTCATTGAAGGTACTTGTCATACTTTCACAACCCAATCCCCTTCTTCCTTGTTTACTACTAAAAAGGGCAAACTCCGGGTCCTCGGTTGACAACTCCAGTGGCCAGAGAACGTGCGTTTTAAGGCAGGTCTCGGAGTGAGCCCCAGCACCCTGGAAGCGACCTCCAAACACCAAGTCCAAATAGCACCCGAGCCCCCCTCACCCCACCCACCAGGGGTGACCCCGAACAAAAGGCAGAAATCTGTCCAATAAAGGGGAAATCAGTCATCAGAGTCCATTCATTCTGTAAACCCACCTTTTCTCTAATTCTCATACATTCGGTGCCTTCAGAAGTAGTGTGTGTGTGTGTGTGTGTGTGTGTGTGTGTGTGTGTGTGTGTATGCGCGCAAGAGGTGAGGGAAATGGTTAGCACTCTATTTTTGTGTCGGGCAAGACACAAGCTTCCAGGCCAAACAGCTAGAGTGGGCTGTACCCGGGGAACACAGCGGCCCCACCGAAACCCCGTTCCCTGGAGAAGAGCTGCCGTTAACCCTCCCTGCAGCACGTTGGGTGTGCAGACCCCTGCGTTTCGAGGGAGGGCGGCACCCCAACTGGTGCGCTTCCAGGAAGCGCTCGCTGCGTGGAGAGGAGAGGGCACAGGGACGCGCGGCGAGGGCCGTTTCATTCATTGCTTCTCGCCCCCCTCTTGCAGCCGTAGCTCGCCGGGCGCTCGCCCCTTCTCCCCGTGCGAGTTTGACGTCGGTCTCCTGGATACCAGACAGCCAATCGCCGGGCAGCTGGGGCCCAAGGCAACCAATCAGGCGTCGTTGCTACCTGTGGGTAATATTTTTAGCCGAGAGGGACGCTCAGGTCCACTCCCCACGTAACTTCGTGTGTTTCCTCGCCGCGGGTTGTGAAAAGGGGCTCTCGCTCGCCGCCCTGGAGCCCTGTCTGTTTGCCCACTGTTTACCCGCACAGGGTCCCACCGAAAAGGGACTTAAACTTTGCACATCACCGGAAGCACCTTGTTTATTTCGTGTATTCACGCTCAAGGGGCTGCTGGAAATAGGCGCGCACACCTATAGGCTCGGATCCCGATGCCTTTGACACGGAGGCCCGAGAGGGGCACTTTGGGAATAAAATGTGACTCTTCTTACAGTCTTAAATCGCCCCGGTGTCCGAGTGGCCGCAGGCTCGCACGGGGAGATCTGATGTGGACTCAGAGGCGGTTAAACTGTCACCTGGGCGGGAGCTGGGGCCAGGTGGGCTCCCTTCCCCACCCCCAGCCTGGCCCGGCAGCTTTGGATTCTGCAGTTGCCACTCCAGGGATGGCAGTTGGCCGAGACCCTTTCGTGATTAATATTCAATTAACTGGGTGCACGAGTCGCGGCCACCGTTCTCCCTTTCTCCTCCAGGTGCACTGGAGGCCGACCGGATTGCTCGGCCCCGAGTGGGATTTTCCTGGGCCACAATCCCACTCGGCTACAGCATTTTTTGTAAACTCTTCCCTCCCTTTGGGGCTTCGGGATCTCCTCCCTGCTTTCCCCCCGTCGCTCCACCACCTGCTTCGTTCCCCTCCCCCTTCTGCCGGGTGCTCTCCGCCTCTCGCGAGCGTCACCCGCCCCACCCCGCCGCCGCGGTCACCCTCACTGGCACGGCGCTTCTCCAATCGCCTTGCAGATTTCCTCTCGAGTCCCGCCTCCAGGGGCGCTGACTCATCAGCTCATTGGCCACTCTGGAGCCCGAGGGGTGTGGCTCAGCCCAGCCGGGCCCTCGGCCGCCCGTCAGGATATGGGCAGGCGGGACTTGGCCAATGGCGTCGCGGGGGCCGGGCCGGGGCGGGGCCGTCCGACGCGGCTCCGGGGTGCGGGGTGGGCGGGGCGGGGGAATGGCTACGCTGTCCGGAGCTGTGTGACGCGGGCGGTCGCGCGCGCGCCCCCTAGGGGCGGGGCGGGGGAGGGGGGGCGGGGAGGAGACTATAAAACGAGAGGCGGGGCGCGCGCCGCGGCAGAAAGAGCCAAGCTCGGGCCCGGCGCGGAGTGGCTGCAGTTCGGGGACGCTGGGCCGGGCATCGGGCTGTGTGGGAGACGTGGGCGCGCTCGCCTGACCCCGACCTCGCCGAGTGCCCCGGGCCCCGGGCCACCCGCTCGCCCTCCGCGCCTCCCGCCCAGCCCCGCCTGGCGCCGGCCGCCGTCTTGCACCCCGCTGGCCGGCCTGACCCTCGCGGCCCCCGCCCTGCCGCCCCTCCGCCCCCGCCCGGCGGCCGGCGCTGTCGTCGTGGAAGCAGCCCCGAAGCAGCCCGTAAGTACCGGGGGGCGGCGGGCGTGGTCCCTGGGAGGAGGAGGAGGCGGAGGCGGCGGCGGCGAGTCCCGGGGTCTCCGCGGAGCTCGGGGGTCCCGGGCGCCCGCCGCGCCGGCTCGGTCGGGACCCGGGTCCGGGGGTTGGGGCGCCGCCGCCGCCGCCGCCGCCGCGGGGGAACCGGCGCTCCCGGGGCCCTGGCCGGCTCCCAGGAGCCTCGGGGCGGGGAGCGGGCAGCGGCGGGTCGGGTTACGGCGGGGGGAGGGGAGCGCTGACCCAGGCGGCCGGCCCGGGGGTCCCCCTCCAGCTGCCCCTGCCAGCTGCCTCGGTCCCCGTCCTCCCGCTCCTCCTCCGCCGCCGCCGCCTCCTCCCGCTGCTGCTGCTGCTTCTGCTGGTGCTGCTGCTGCTGCTGCTGCTGCTGGAGCGCTCGGGCTCCCGGAGCTGTGAGCAGAAATCTAATGAGACCCAACTGGCTGTTTATGTAATTCTCACTCGGCTCTCGAGGCGTTGCTTTCAAACTCTACCTTGCGCCGAGCCTGAATTTCGCTTGGCTGCACCTTGAAGCCACTTGGCTTCGTCCCGCCGCCTCTTGCCCCGTAACTCGGTTTTTTTTTTTTTTTTTTTTTTTTTGGCTCGGGGAAAGTGTTTGTAGTTTCAAGACAGCCCTGGCATCCTCCTCTTGCCTTTTGTCACCCACCACGGCTGTGAAAAATGGAACAGATGGGTCAATAGCATATATATATAGCTATATATGTGTATATATATATTTTTTTAAAGGTCCTTTCCAAACAACCTCGGTGTACAAATAGATCCCCTTTGCAAATATCTTCTGTTTGCCCTTGATCTTTTCTTATCCCCACCCAGTGCTGATCCAGCAAACGTTTAAAGGTCGACCTTATCATACACGCCTCTCCGGCTGTTCCCTTATCAGGAGGGAGGGAGTGAGCGAGCGACCGAGGGAGGTGGTTCTGAAAATCAGAATGAAACCTAGAAATGCTGCCCTTTAAACAGGGAGTAATCAATAGTTTGGAAATTAATCGTGGCTTTAGTTACAACTTGCTACCAAAGCGGTTATTTGTAGACTTCGCAAGAAGAAGGAGGGCAAGGAGGAAAACAGCACAGGGGAACTTGATTATTGTGTGTTTTTAATAAAAAAAAAAATTAAGACCTCAACTCTGGAGGAGAATTTGGTTCAAAATTTTTTTTCGAATTTGGTTCAAACTTCTTTCATTCACTGCGATGGCCATTAGCTTAGGGTTTAGTACTTTAGAAGTTAATTTTCCTAACTTCTCAAATATCTAAATGTTTACGATAGGGCAGATTAAAATAGTACACATCCAAATAAACTAGAGAGGATTCACATCTAAATTGGCGAATAGGAATGTGGCCAACTTCTAAAACTGACATATATGTGTGTGTGGAGGTGGGTGGGTATGTCGAATATAGTTTCCAGTAAATATTCTTAGGAAAAGTCAAGGGAAGAAGGAATATCTTACATATTTTGGAGGCGTTTTTCTACCTAAAACGTTTCAGAAACAAAATAAGCTTAAAAGTATATATAAAAGCCCAAGTTTTTCCATGAGATACTTTTTACTTTAATAAACAGTTTTCCACTGTACACGCCTTAATTTTGTGCCGATTACATTTTTTAGGCTTTTGAATTTATTAGATATTTTTTCAAAAGTGAGGTTGCTTTGGGGGTTTGAGAAATAAACATTATATCTATCTTAATTGTACATGTCTGTTTTTTTCTCTTTGCTTTTCTTTAAGGAACAAGACGACTCAAGGTGAAGGATAATCTTCTAATACTGGCACTTTGAATGAAAATTTATTTCCTGGCCACAAACTGAACACTTGGTGTGTGTGCGTGTGTGTGTGTACGTGAGACAGAGCGAGGGAGTTGAAACACAAACTTAACTTTGTGGCTAGCAGCTATGCAGCTTGAAATCCAAGTAGCACTAAATTTTATTATTTCATACTTGTACAATAAGCTTCCCAGGAGACGTGTCAACATTTTTGGTGAAGAGCTTGAAAGACTTCTTAAGAAGAAATACGAAGGGCACTGGTATCCCGAAAAGCCATACAAAGGATCAGGGTTTAGATGTATACACATCGGGGAGAAAGTGGACCCCGTGATTGAACAAGCATCCAAAGAGAGCGGTTTGGACATTGATGATGTTCGTGGCAATCTGCCACAGGATCTTAGCGTTTGGATCGATCCGTTTGAGGTATCCTACCAAATTGGTGAAAAGGGACCAGTGAAGGTGCTGTACGTGGACGATAATAATGAAAATGGATGTGAGTTGGATAAGGAGATCAGAAACAGCTTTAACCCGGAGGCCCAGGTTTTTATGCCCATCAGTGACCCGGCGTCATCCGTGTCCAGCTCTCCCTCACCTCCTTTCGGTCACTCTGCTGCTGTCAGCCCTACCTTCATGGCCCGGTCCACTCAGCCTTTAACCTTTACCACTGCCACTTTCGCTGCCACCAAGTTTGGCTCCACCAAAATGAAGAACAGTGGCCGCAGCAGCAAGGTCGCCCGCACTTCTCCCATCAACCTCGGCATGAATGTGAACGACCTCCTGAAGCAGAAAGCCATCTCCTCCTCAATGCACTCTCTGTACGGGCTGGGCTTGGGCAGCCAGCAGCCGCCGCAGCCGCAGCCACAGCCGCCGGCCCAGCCGCCGCCCCCGGCCCAGCCCCAGCCGCAGCCGCAGCAGCAGCAACAGCCGCAGCAGCAGCAGCAGCAGCAGCAGCAGAAAACCTCCGCTCTCTCTCCCAATGCCAAGGAATTTATTTTTCCGAATATGCAGGGTCAAGGTAGTAGTACCAATGGAATGTTCCCAGGTGACAGCCCCCTTAACCTCAGTCCTCTCCAGTACAGCAATGCCTTTGATGTGTTTGCGGCCTACGGAGGCCTCAACGAGAAGTCTTTTGTAGATGGCTTGAATTTTAGCTTAAATAACATGCAGTATTCTAACCAGCAATTTCAGCCTGTTATGGCTAACTAAAAAAGAAGAAGAAGAAGAAGAAAAATGTATCTGACAAGCTTAAATACTCGGGCCCAAGGGGGATTTTTTTTTCTCTCTCTCAACCTCCTTGTGTTTTTTGTTTTTTTGTTTTTTTTTTTTTTAGGCTTACAGTAAGGATACATTCAGGCTTGGTTACAAAAATAAAACATGCATCATTCTTTCATTTGCCAACCAAGCACAAAAGTTTTTTTCTACTGACTATATTTGAAAGTATACTCTCAGATATGGCCTCTTACAGTATTCGAGATACAAGCAAAGAACGTGGCTGATTTTTTTTTTTTATAAAAAAATTGGCACTAATACGTGGGTTTGTTGGTCTTTTCTAATTGTATAATTTAATTTACTACAAAGTTTGTAAAATATCAGAGGATATATATATATTGTTTCTACGACACGGCGTCGCATTTATATCTTTTTACTACAGTGACCTGTGACAGCACCAGCTTCATGTTGTATTTTTTTTACTGAAATTGTAAAATACCCATCTTAAAGACATCGATTCTAAAATTGTGTACAGGATATTCCTTTAGTGGTGGAATTAAAATGTACGAATATTTGCTTTTTCAAAAAAATGTATTTTCTGTTAAAGGTTTAAAGATTTTTGCTATATATTATGGAAGAAAATGTAATCGTAAATATTAATTTTGTACCTATATTGTGCAATACTTGAAAAAAAACGGTATAAAAGTATTTTGAGTCAGTGTCTTATGTTGAGGGACTGAAATAGTTTATATTAAGTTTGTATTAAAATTCTTTAAAATTAAACACGCTTATTGTGGTCTTTGTCTTTAAACCCGTGTCATAGATCTAACTCGGGAATTATGATGTTGTAAATCCTAATGATGCAGAAAGGTCTGACTCATTGAATCACAAAGGAGTAATGGAAGGCAATTGCCCTATTAGTGGAACTGATAGTAATTCCACTAAAAATGTTGCCACATAAGTTGTTCTATCAAAACTTTCTAGCCAATGCCTGGCACAGCTTCTGGTTTTGTTTTTAGCAGCTCTCTCCATTTTACATCTGCCTTCCCTGTGATGGGGATTATGCTAAAGGCTAGTCAACTCTATGTAGTAGCAAATTTTTGTTTGTTGGTTTTTGCTTTTTTTGGGCGGTCACCCCTGGCCATGCACAGGGGTTACTCCTGGTGGTGCTAAGGGGACCATATGGGATGCTGGAAATCGAACCCAGGTCGGCCGCATGCAAGGTAAACTCCCTACCTGCTCTGTAGCAAATTTTTGAATGCGGTAATACTGACAACTAAGAATCAAGGGATAGATTGAAAATCAATCACGTAATCTGAGAGGATTTATTTGAAATAAATAAGTAGCTCAGAAAAATCTATTTGGACAAAGCAGCGGGCTAACTAAATTAAAGATTTAGGACTATTTACTAATCCCTACACTTTCATTCTATTCATCCATTGCTGGAGAATGTATTAGCTCAGTCTACTGAGGGAATTGGACAAGTTGCCAAGTGCTAGTGTTTGTGTGCATTTTCCCAGCAAAGTTGCAATAGTTCTTGTGTCACAAATTATGGCTAACCTAGTTTGAGGGCTGGTGGGGGGGAGGGTTAAGAGACAACAGTGTGTCCACTTGTAGTGGTTTTTTGAAGATGAAGTTTCTTAAATGTTAGTTGGGAAAGATCTTTAAAATGATACGTCGTTTCACAACTTCAATGTCCATTGATAACTGGTGACATGGTATTAGAAAATCTTCGGTTCAGAAGAAAAGATACCTTTGTACTTGTGTAGGAAACCAGCCATGTCTGGGGTGCAAGTGAAATAAATTTTGTCTAAATGAGGAATTTGGACATGGGTCTACAAAAACCTTTTGTCTATTACCCATACAATTCAGCAATAAAAAGTTTGAAGGAAACAGACACTGGGAATAATAGGGCAAAGCTATTCCATCAACTCCACGGTGAGGCCTTTGTCCTTTAGTGGACAGAATGAGGCTATCAAGAAGTGAGTAGAAATGGCAGAGATCTGTTCTGCCAGCACTATCAATTAAGCACTTTTGTGATCACGAAGTTTGAATGGCTAAGGGAACAATCAGTAGTGCTTTTAAGTACCAGTTAATGTTGGAGTCTTGGTGAAGTTATTAGACATTTAATTTTAATGAAAGACTCAACATCTTTTTTATGAGAATCTTGAGTAAGATAGCTGGCCAGTAGATACACAATAGAATTTGTACCTAGACTAATAATAAAGAGGTATTCTGATTATAAGTTAATTCCAGTGTAATCTGATTTTAGAGCTCTGTCTCCTGACAAAAATCTTGGAAATTTCAGTTGGTATATATGCTGTTTGGTACTGGTAAAGGATTAAATTTTATCTTAAATTTTAACCTTCTGGAGGTTTAAGTTTCACTGGTGTTCTTAAGGATTTGGGTTTGTTTTTTAGAGACTGAACAAAGGTGGTTTTTATGGTTTGGGGTGTTTTGGTTTTTGTTTTGTTTTTCACAATTGGAATGACAGATCTTTAAAGGTGTTTTTGTCTAGCACACCTAAGAAGGTCTTAGAAAACTTTACATCTGGGTCTCAATTCTGGCCTCACAGAGCCTTCACGCTTTCATGAGGAGATTGTCTGGGTTACCACTTTGGTGAGTTAATTAGCTCAATAGATTTTTCCCTATCTTTTCTCCCTTCTGTAAAGACACTGTAGTAACTCTCCTGTCCGCAAGTAACCCTTTATAGACTGCATAGCTCCTTGGGAAATGAGGGGTCTCGCTGTTCCTTTCCCCTGAACGTCTTTTCTAAACTTAAGTACCTTGTTAGAACTCCTTTGACTCTTTCATCTTTGTTAGATGGCCAACATTGACTGCATTCAAATAACTTCCTTAAAATAACACTCGGGGCCAGAGCAATAGTACTAAAGGGGGACCGGGGAGGTGGCAGGGGAAATACACAGGACACTCTTCACTCTGATTTCAGCTAACTTCTTAGCCTTCCAGGATGAAACAAAACATGGCTTGGCTCAAAATGTTTTTCCCATATATGTTGCTGTTAATTTCAGTCTCCTGGAGAGGTCTTGTATACTGCCTTTATAAATTTTTTTTTTTTAATTTGGGGGTCACACCTGGCAGTGCTCAGGATTTACTCCTGGCAGAGTCAGGGGACCATAAGGAATGCCAGGAATGAACCAGGGTCAGGCACCATGTAAGGCAAGCCGCCGAGAAGGCAAGCATTCTACCCACTGTACTAGCTCTTTGGCTCCTGTACTGGCATTTTAACTGTGAACTGTTAAAACAAATCATTAGGACTTAGGTGGTTTTTTGTTTGGCTGGTTGGTTTTTTGCAGTGCTCAGGACTTACTCCTGGCTCTCTACTCAGGAATTATTCCTGGCAGTGCTTGGAGCACCACATGGGATGCAAGGGATCAAACCTGGGTTGGCCACGTGCAAAGGAAGTGCCTTACCCAGTGTACAATCTGTCCAGCTCCAGGCCAGGACTAAGGTTTGTGTGTTTTTTTTTTTTTAAGTAAGCCTCTGTGACCAAAAAGAGTCTCTTTGGTTATGCATAAACTAATGGGAGAAATGCCAGTTTAAAGACCCTTCCTCTTCAGCCTTTCCCTCACAAACGGCAAATAGAATCCTGGCACAGGAGTGAAGTCTTGACCTGGCAGCGTGATTGTGTCAGGAGCAGGATGACAACTCTAGGGTGAGATCAAATTAAGGGGAAAACCACCTTATTAGAGGCAAGTCCATGCAACTGGCACTGCTGAATGAAATCATAATTTTGTTTACTACACCCATCAATGGATGCTTGATGAATGTGGCACAGCTCACTGGAGATCAGGCCTCTTCAGTTTTTGTGTTATATTAGGAAGGCATTATTTTCGTATTCAAAGGACCCGGGATCTTTAAATCTGTGTGCATACAATCTCTAAGTACTGCATGTGTGGGTTTTGATGTTTTAAATAATTCAGTAAACAAGTATAGTACTGACTATGGGCCCTACAGAGTTTGAACCCATTTTACCCACAAACCAGGGGGCTCAGAGTTTATTATTTCACCCACAATTGTAGGCGGGTGGTAAACATGGGATGTAGATTGTTGGGTCCAGTTAACCTGGTTTCACATCTTAAACTCTTGCTCCCTCTGATTGGTTACTATTCAAAATAGAAATCAGAGAAACTAGGACATACACACACACACACACACACACACACACACACACACACACACACACACACCCCTCGTGACTTTTAGTATCTCTACAAGACAGTTGAGTGGACGAGTCCTGGACAGACAGAAGTCATGATGATGTTTTGAGTACTTTCTATTTCTGGTGGTTATCCACTGTCCCCAGGCTGTCAGAATTTTTTTCCCCCAGAAATCAGTGCTATTAATGCACTGATTTTGCTGATTTTCCCACTCAGTCTTGTAAATGACCTTTCTCGTGGTAAAACAACTGGCTTCCTCACACAAAGGCCTGGAGATTGAGTGGCCTTGTTAGTTCCAAGTAGAACTGTGGACATTGACCTGTGGTTATTTCCACTGTTCCTTGCCTGTGCTCTGTTGATAGGCATGATAAGAAAAGGATGAAGCAATGTACCAAAATAGCCTCAATTCTGTGTTGCTGTTTGTGCGGTACCAATCACTTGTTTTTTTAATTACTCTGAAAAGTGATCTTTTCAAAATGTAAGGGGCTGAAGCAATAGTATAGTGGGGTAGGGCATTTGCCTTGCACATGGCTGACCCAGGTTTGATTCCCAGCATCCCTGAGCACCACCAGGAGTAATTCCTGAGAGCACAGACAGGAGTCCCCCCCCCCCACCACCACCACCACAAGCATAGTCAGGTGTGTTCCAAAATCAAACAAACAAAAAATTCGATTTAAATTTTGGATGGTCCTCCCAGCAATGTTCAGAGGCCTGGGGTCTCCCTTGGCTTCACAGCACAGTGCTTTTCTAGTCTCGTAGGACTGGGGGCCACCAGGTCTACAGATGGAGCTCAGGGTTAGTTCTAGGAGTCAAGCTTGTGGCATGTGGCATGCAGAGTGTGCACTCCAATCTTTTGATCTCCACAGCTCTGAAAATCTAAAGGTGACCTTTGTATATACTTTCTATATGGTTAGATGTGATCAATGGTTTTTTTGCTTTTATTTTAAAACACCAAGGATACCAAATGATCTCATATTGCTTCTGAAAAGTACAGTGTATAGGGCATTTGCCTTGCATGCAACCAACTAGATTAAGTCCCAACACCATGTTTGATCCCCCAAGTACCATCATGAGTGACTCCTGAGCACAGAGCCAGGAGTAAGCCCTGAGCACTGTTGGATGGTAGCCTCCCCTCAAAAAAAAAAATCGAGACTAGAGTAGAACAGATAGGGCACTTGCTTTGAAACAGCTGATTTGGGCATTCTGTATGGTTCCCAAGCTCCACCAGGACTGATCCTTGAGCACAGAGTCAGGAGTAATCCCTGAGCACTGCTGAATATGAGAGAGAAGAAAAGAGAAGGGGAGGGAAGAGAAGGGAAGGAGAGGAGAGATTTAAAAAAAAGAAGAGAGAAGGGAAGGGAAAGGGAGAGAAAGAAAAAAGGAATGAAAGAAAGAGGAAAAAAGTTTTAAAACATTTTTCAAAAGTCACATTTTCGGGCTCAAAAGATAGCTCAAAGGCTTTGCTTGCAGAAGCCCTGGGTTCAGTCCCTGGCTACATGGTCCTTAAAGTACCACCAAGAGTGAGTCCTCCTAGCACCAAGCAAGAGCACCACTGAATGTCACAAAAATTAAAAAAAAAAAAAACAGAAAAACAAAACTTTT